GAGACGGCTGTGAAGGGCAGGAGGGTGACCTCCGTCTCCAGACTGTGGCAGACTCGAACAGGACTCCCCCTGCCCACACAGTACTGGGCTCCTGGCTCAGCGACGGGCTGCTTTCACTGCTAGCCCCCCAAACACACTCCGTGCTACAAACACTGATCCAGTTAAGAGTCAGGGGACCCCTGGTGACTGTGGCTGCCAACAGCGATGGGCTTCGATTTGGTTTATTCCTTCTTTCCTTTCTTTCTCCAGGGCTGAAGATGGGACAAACGCTCGACAGTTGAGCTGCGTGGCCAGCCTCAGGTTCTTTCTTTTCTTTAGGAGCCTGCTGTCGTGTGCCTCTTAGCACCCGGCCACCATATTCATGTTTTCAGCTCCAGCTAGGGCTGTTGATGCACAGAAATACACCTCCTACGTTGGCAGCCCACGGCCTGTGATTCAGCCTCTGTGGCAGAGGCCCAGGCACCCGGTGTGCTAAGAATAGAATTTTCCATTTCAACTGTATTTAAAAGACGTTTTTCCTCCGCTTCATTCATCAGCTATCAAAACTCTACTAAATGCCAAAAGAACTGTGCAGGGGGCCGAGGATTCTGTGGTAAACAACCTGACAAGATCCTTGTACTCAAAGTGCGCCTCCTCTGACAAAGGGGGGGGGGAGAGAAGAGGATGTAGAGAACGAACACAATACAACAACGTGTCAAGTGTGACTGTGACCCCTTCTGTGTACTGTGGAGAAGGACCCTTCCCACCTTCCTGATCACTTCCCCCATCCAGAGCGCTGTCAAGAGGGATAATTCTAAAATCTATTACCATGTGAAAAGAGGAGCCCTATCCAGTGTCGTCAGAGCTTGAGTTTGTCACTGACATCATAGGCTAATGTTTCCAGAGCATTTATTGAGAGAGACAGGTATGGCTTGCCACAGCTCTTACTGTTCTGATGGTTATGTGCTCTAGCCCAGTTACTTCTGGGACTTCTTCTAAAAAGCATAACATGGTCTGTCTTAGTGAGGGGTTTCTACGGCTGCAATGAAACACCATGACCCAAAAGCAAGTTAGGGAGGAAAGGGTTTATTCGGCTTATACTTCGATATCACAGTTCATCATCAAAGGAAGTCAGGACAGGATCTCAAGCAGGGCAGGAACCCGGAGGCAGAAGCAGAGGTCACAGAGGGGTGCTTCTTACTGGCTTGCTCCCCATGGCTTACTCAGCCTGCTTTCTTATAGAACCCAGGACCACCAGCCCAGGGATGGCACCGCCTACAATTAGTTTAGCCCTTCCCCATTGATCACTAATTAAGAAAATGCCTTACAGCAGGATCTTATAAAGGCATTTTCTCAATTGAGGTTCCCTTACAGCTGGGATACAAAGTGAAAAAAAACTGTAATAAATAAATAAATAAATAAATAAATAAATAAATAAATAAATTTGAGGTACCCTCCTCTCTGACTCTAGTTTGTGGCAAGTTGGCATAAACTAGCTAGCACCTGGTCTTTAGCAAAAGAGCTGTGCCTTTAAAGGTGGTTTCTGTGGCATTGTAATTTCTATAAGCAATCAGTTTATTTTGCTAATGGGAGTAAATTATTTGAGTTCACTGGCTGTCTAGGTAAAATGAGGTGATAATATCTACCTCAAAAAGCATGTGTGTAGGTCCTAGCATGGTGGCCCATACCTTTAACCCCAATTTTTAGGAAGCAGAGGCAGATGGATCTGTGAATTTGAGGTCAGCCTGGTCTACATAGCTCGTACTGGCCAGCCGGGGCTAAATAGTCTGACTGTGTGTAAAAACATGCCGAGTTGGAGAGTCCAGTCTACCTATGGCTCAGGGAGTGTTGCAGAAGAGGGGTGTTAAATAAAATTTGTTATTGATATGTACTATTAATACATATAATTACTATAGCAGTTATTATTTAGCCTGCTATCGTATCAATAAAAGACACAGACACCTGTTAGATTTTTAATATGCTTTAACTTCTGGAGACGGGCAGAAACTAACCCCCTAGGCTACTTTGTTGTCTCCCAGCCCTGCATCTCATGCCATTTGCTTTAGTGATTCCCATCTGGGCTTCTCTCCGCCACCGATCCTCAGAGCCAGGCTCCTCCTGGTTCTTCTTTATGCTAACCCCTGGCGACTCTCTTTCTTCTTCTCCTCTTCTGTCTTCCTTCCTCTCTTCTCCCTCCTGTGGTCCTCTGTCCTCCAAGCTTTCAAACCTTAGCTCTGCCTACCTCACCTGTGCCCTGCACAGGTGCAGGCACTTTTTTTATTGGCCACTTGGGAGGCCAATAAAAATAATTTGGAGGCAAGGTAACACAGCATCACTTGGTATACATGAGCGTCTGCTTGAAGGACAGCAGAGATCTCAGGGGACGAGCAATTAACTAAATGCCAAGGACCAGACCATGCTGCAACAGAGGCAGAAATACTGTGAGAGCCATAGGATCACGGAGCTTGTTCTAGATTGTGTCTCCTCATAACATCAGGAGCTACACCCATAAAGTCTCAACAACTTGACCGCCCGGATGTGAGCCGAACAAGGACACCAATGCACACATCACACTGCCCAGGGAAAAGCCCACAAGACCGTAACCCTGCAACAAAGAACTACATGTGACTGAGCGATGCTGGAGCAGCAGGGGTGGCCCTCCTCCCCGAAAGGCACACCAACTGTTTGCCCAGTGCCAAGTGCTCAGCCCTAAGATCACACATACAAGTAGCATCATATGGACTCCACAGGTTATATTTAGGGATATATGTATGTACAAATACATATAAGCATGCGATCACAATTGATTTAAAAAAAAATAGGCCATAAATTTGAAGAAGAGTGGGAAGGGGCTTATGGGAGGGAAAGGGAAGACAGAAATGTTGTAGTTAAAGTATAATCACAAAAGTTAAAAATAGAGTAAGAGTAATGTAACTGTGACCATGTAATCTCCCAGTTATAACCCCATGGTTGCTTCTCAAAGCCTCCAAGTTTCCACAAAGCTTGCAGGCCCTGGTGTGGGGTGGCCACTTCTCCCCTTTCCTGTCTGACTTCATGTGCTCCATTTCTGCCTCACTGTGCTCCTGCCTCTCAGTTCAAGTTTCACCTGAAAAGTCTCCCCAAGGGGCAGTGAGATGGCTCAGCTGGTCAAGACACTCGCTTTGCAAACCTGGAGACCTGAGTTGGTGGGATGAGAAAACCAACTCCATCAAATTGTCCCCCGGCTCGCACGTGTATGTGTGCGCTGCTCTAGGCACACAAGACACACGTGTGTGCACACACATTTGATTAGTAAAGTTTTTAAAAGTCACCTCAGGAGAGTCCAAATGCTCTATCTAAAATCAGTAAGGATACGAATCAGTGGTAAAACATTTGCTTAGCAGCAGGTTACGGCTTTGGGTTTGAGCCCCGGCACCATCTATTTTCAAAGAGAAATCTTTTATTACGTGGAGAAGTGGCTGATTTCTGACTCAGGCAGAAAACAGCAGCAAATGACTTTGCAGGTGTGGTTTTTTTTTTTTTAAGATTTATTTATTATGTATACGATACATGTTTGCATGTACACCTGCACACCAGAAGAGAGCACCAGATTTCATTTTAGATGGTTATGAGTCATGGTTGCTGGGAATTGAACTCATGACCTCTGGAAGAGCAGCCAATACTCTTAACCTCTGAGCCATCTCTCCAGCCCCTGCGGGTATGATTTTTAAGAGGAGGCTGGTACTAGAACAGTCTAGGGTTTGGTGGTGTGTTTTGGATGGGTTTTGGGGGTGGGGGCTGGGTATTTTAATTAGGGCAGCCAAAAGGGGGCTTTGATTGCTGAATTTCAATATTGTAATAGCTGGAGCTTGGTGATTAGCCTCAGGAGGAAGTGGCCAAATAAAGGAACAGAGCTTGGTGGCTACCTTTAAGAATGTAATCTAGGGGCTGGAGAGATGGCTCAGTGGTTAAGAGCACTGTCTGCTCTTCCAAAGGTCATGAGTTCAATTCCCAGCAACCACATGGTGGCTCACAACCATCTATAATGTGAACCGATTCTCTCTTCTGGCAGGTGTAAATTCAGATAGAAACTCATATACATAAATTAAATTAATAAAAAAGAATGTAATTTAACATTATTAGCAAGAAAGAGGAAATAGGGAAAGGGCAAGGGCTGCCAAAGCCATGTTTGCTATGCTCGGGCCTTCAACAATAGAGTAGTCTTTAGTCCCAGCACAGAGGCAGGTAGATCTCTGTGAATTCAAGGCCAGTCTGTCCTGCATAGCAAGTTCCAGGAGAGCCAGGGCTACATGGAAAGATCCAGTCTCAAAAGAAAGAAATGAAATGAAACTTGTTAAAGGCAGCTTGGTGGTACATAGCCAAAATTTCTGTACTTGGGAGGCAAAGGCCTGAACTGCATAGAGATACTCTCCAATAAGCAAACATGGACTTACCATTTTCTTCTGTTAATGAGAACCTATAACTTAAATATTAGTTAGTTTAGAACAGGTGGATAGCAAACACTTTGCCCAAAGAGCCAGCTGGTTAAATGTATCGTATTTGGGGAGGAACAGGTTTCTTCTTCTAACATGAAAGTAGCCAGAAAGGAATAGAAAGGAAAGAATGTGGCTGTACTCTACCAAAACTCTGTGACACTAAAATTTTAACTTCATATAATTTTCATCTATCATGAAATTCTGTCTTGATCCTCCCGCCTCACCCCGCTTCAAACTGTAAAAACCATTCTTCTTAGCTCTCTCGAATTCGACAAAAGCAGGAGGCTGGACCACCCGGACGGTAGTGTTGGTAGGTCAACTGCCGTTAACATCCGGGTTGATCGGATCCAGGTTTGTCTCCTCCAGCACGGCTAGCACTGGGAGCGTTGGGTCCACGTTGGATCACTAGCAACCGCACACTTCCAGGGTTGCAGAACGCTGCGGGACAGCCGGGAAGGGGCGGGACCCGCAGCTGCCGAGCCGAGAGACCTACAAGGACCTTAGGGGAGGGCCGATGGCGAGGGGGGCGGGCCGAGCGCCGGCTTCCGGCGGAAACTGGCGCAAGCAAGATGGCCTCCACCAAGCGTGTGCTGTACGTGGGTGAGCAGGCGCGGGAGCTAGACGGAGTCTGGGCGATGTGGGGAAGGGGTCGAGCAGGCAGGGTCTGTGGAAGGCCTGCTGGGCCTGAGGGTGTAAGCCCGAGATGGAAGGGCCATTCCCGCGACCTTCCTAATCCATGAGCTCCGATGAGGGACGGGAATTACGGCTTCCAAATCCCTCCAGCCCATTCGTGCTGCAAACTTTTAGGTGCGGGAATGGCTGGGTCTTTGCCCTAAAGGAAGGAGTTACCAGACTATCCAGAAGATAGTGGGAAGTAGCCAAAACAAGCGCTGTGGTAGGGGCGAACAGTGATGACAGGAACTTGGGTGAGGGCAAAGTTTCTGTTGCCGGGACGCAGGAGTAGAGACAAAGCTATTCGCTGCACGTGAGCCGAAGCCCAAAGGTGTAAAATAGCCTGACTTCTGGGGACAGCTGGATCATTTTTCAAGAAACCCAGGGAAATTGGAAAAACAAAGTGGGAGATGCAAAAGACATGAGCCAGACTCATGAGCGATAGCCCTGTGTACCCTCCGAAGAAGCCCTCGCTTTATCTTTAGGATGGTGATGTTTAAAACTTTGAAGTCTAAGAAAACTGGTGGATTCATTTCCTCTTTTTCAAAATATTCCTATTGGGTGTTTTTGGTTTCGTTTTGTTTTTTGCGGGGGGGGGGGCGGGAAGATGATACAGGGAAAGAAAGCAGGAAGGTCAGTTATGTAGTAATGCAAGAGTCTTGGAGATAGATTGGGATCTGTTTGAAAAGTTGAAGAAAGGATCTTAGTGTGGGTAGGCAGGAGAGAGGTGTAGACAAAGGACGGGATGGAAAGAGCCCCTCCCTTTGCTTGCCATGCCAGTGGGCTGCAGGGACTTTTGAGTATGGAGGACAGCAGCTCTGAGTCCTTGTCTTATTTGCAGGTGGGCTAGCAGAAGAGGTGGACGACAAGGTTCTTCATGCTGCCTTTATCCCTTTTGGAGATATCACAGATATTCAGATCCCTCTGGATTATGAAACAGGTGGGTCCTTTGGTCGTCTCTAATGTTCATTAGCCACCTATAGGAAAAGAATTTTTAAAGATTAAAAGTCACATTTCAGTTGTAGATTTTGCATTCGTAGACTGGGGGCATATATCAGAAGTAGGATTCTTGCTCAATATGTGAGGCCATAGGTTCAATTCCCAGCACTAATCTCTCTCTCACACATACACACCCAGAGAGAGAGACTAAATAGCAAGATCTTTAAATTCTCTGAAAATAGGAAATTTTATTCCCCCAAAAAGCCAGTATAGTAGCTGCTGCTCATCATGACACACACAGGTAATCCCAGCAATTCAGAGGCTGAGGCAGGAGGATAGAGTTTAAATGACTTCTGGGCTTCATAATGAGATACTCTCAGAAAAAAATACATGCAAAAATAGTGTTCTGTTGACTTTCTAATGTACTGTATAATCAAGTTGACACTGTTGTGTCTGGGCTTCCTGCGTAGATCAGAAGATGCCTGGGAATAAAGACTGACTATCCTTACCAGATTTGGGAGTTGATGTGTAGTTGATGATCAGATCCTATATTTGGTTGGTGGCATTTTGCCTGTTTTAGTTTTGTTTTGTTTCTATTTCAAAATGATCTGTGTTGTGCAGGCTGGCATCTTAACTCGGGATCCTTCCACCTTAGCTTCCCAAGTTTTCATTATGAGTACATACAGTGGCACCTGGATTTGTATATTTGGATAAACAGTTGATAAGCTATATAACTCACCTTGCTTATGAAAGGTTGAAGTTTATGTTTGACTTCATAGATCATAGATGAATAGAATGCTTATTTGTTTTTTCTTTTTGGGTTTTTCGAGACAGGGTTTCTCCGTGTAACCCTGGCTGTCCTGGAACTCACTTTGTAGACCAGGCTGGCTGGCCTCAAACTCAGGGATTAGCCTGCCTCTTCCTCCCAAGGGCTGGGATTAAAGGCATGCTCCACCACACCTGGCTTAGAATGCTATTTTAAAACATTTTTTTCTTTATGTAATTATTTCTGTGTGGCATAGCAAAGGATAGTGTGCAGGAATTGGTTTTTCCACCATATGGATCCTGAGACTGAACTCAGTTATCAGGCTTGCTGGCAAGCACCATTACCCACTGAGCCATCTCACCAGCCCTCAGTGTCCATTTTAAAGATTCAAGTACAGTTTAGGGCTGGAGGGGTGGCTCAGTGGTAAGAGCACTGGCTATTCTTCCAGAGGACCCAGATTCAAGATCAACTTCCCAGCACCTGCATGGTGGCTCCTAAGCATCTTAACTATAGTCCAGGAGGCATCCAGTACCCACTTCTGACCTCAAGTACTGCACACACATGGTCTGCAGACATGCATACAGGCAAAACACCCAAACACGTGAAAATCAATTTAGAAAACTGACTAAAGTTCATTATTTCGCTTTGTCCATATAAAATGTTTGTTGTTGCTTCCAATAATATTTAAAAGGAATCAATGAATGAAACTCCTTCCTTCTAAATAGTGAATGGGTAGTTTCTGGTGTCTGTACGTGGCATGTAACTGACTTCATTCTCTTTTCTTCCATTGCCTCACATCTTTATGGTTTTATTCTTTTTTGCAGAAAAACACAGAGGATTTGCTTTTGTTGAATTTGAGTTGGCAGAGGTGAGCCTTCTGTACTGTCTTTGTGTAGTCTGGGAGTCCTGTAGAGCGCAGTTCTCAACCTGTGGGTTGTAGCCCCTTTGGAGTTACATATCAGATGCCCTGCATATCACCTATTTGCATTATGATTCATAACAGGAGCAAAATTGCACCTAAGTAGCAATGAAATCATTTTATGGTTGGGTCACCACAACATGAGGAACTGTAATTTTTTGGTTTTATTTTTTTGAGACAGGGTTTCTCTGTGTAACAGAGTGCTGGCTGTCCTGGACTCACCCTGTAGACCAGGCTGGTCTCAAACTCACAGATCCGCCTGTCTCTGCCTCCAGAGTACTGGGATTAAAGGCATGTGCTACCACACATATTGAGGAACTGTGTTAAAGGGTCTCAGCATTAGGGAGGCTAAGAACCATTGCTACAGAGGAAGCTTTTTCCTATTTATGTTCTTAGGACAATGCTTTCAGATGCCCAAGAGTGCAACTTGAAGGAAAGCTTCCTTTCACACTATGGTCTGTCAGTAACAGCTCAGCCCGACTGTCAGGCCCCATCTGTCTTGCTCTTGTCTGCGATGCTGTCACAGCTCTGTTCATTTGGAACATTCATGTCTGGCAGTGCTGGTGACTATCTCTCATGCCTTTGTCTAGAAGCAGATTATGGTGCTGTGAGCTTTAGAATTGCCCAAGAAGTGTTAATAGTCACACACCCAACATAGGCAGGCAATGCAGAGGTGACTTTTTCCTGTTTATTTTGCTACCAAGTGTGCATTTAGACACACAAGGAGCATTCCACTACAAGCCTAAACTTAACACCTTGCATTTCCTTGGCAGGATGCTGCGGCAGCTATCGACAACATGGTATGCTGGGAATCTTCATTCTAAGTGAAGGTGCCTTTTGCTGGTATAGAGGGCCCTTGTTCACCTATTGGTATTCTGAATCTCTGAAGTGTCAGGGTTGGGTGGGGAGGTAAAAGTTGCCATCGAGTGAAAATACTGTGAACCGATTACTGGTAAAATAGTTCTGCTCAGAAGCTTCTCCATTTGAGAGTGTCCTTCCTGCTCCTCCCTCATGGCTTGTCTCTCACTGGCCACCCCACATGATGGTGAAAAGCAAACACAGTGCCAACTGATTGCTCACTGAAACTGCATATTTGCAGAAGGGGAAGGGTTTTATGAAATGTTCGACCAGTTAACAGCTGAGAAGAAGGATTCAGTAAGAATAACTGAAGGCTGTGCTCCTGATGCAGGTGATTGGAATGGCTGGGAATGATGACAGTGCTTAAGACACTTAGGTGTCATTAGGTCAGATAGGAAGTGTAAAAGTGTCATATCCTGTTGCTAGAATTTTCCTGGAAAAGTTCTTTAAAACTAATCATCTCTGGTTTCATGTTTCCATTATAAATGAGTGCATAATCGATTCTGATACTAAGAAATTTACATCTTTTTTTTTTTTCCTGGTATCATAAAAACCTAAAAAAAGACTTTTTAAAAAAGTTTTTGCCTTGAAGTTTTTACTACTGCCTTAAGGTTCACATTAAGTGGCCTTTTCCAGTGCTGCTATCTTTGTGAAGTTCTTTATTCATTATTCTCCCTGTCCATTCTCCATACATACTATTTCTTTTTTGTTTTCTTTTTTTTAAGATTTATTTATTTATTATGTATACAGTATTCTGCCTGCATGTGTGCCTGCACACCAGAAGAAGGCACCAGATCTCATGATAGATGGTTATGAGCCACCATGTGGCTGCTGGGAATTGAACTCACA